GTGAAAGTGGTTAACTGGTTATTTTGATTATTAAGTGAGATGAAGCGATCTACTATCAGGTCAAGGATATTAGATATTTTGTTTCTGCTATGTCATAGTTTTCTGTGTATTTCCTTTAACTCAAAAGTTATTAGTATTGTTAATTGGTTAGATGAGCGCATGTCAGCAACCTTGGATATCTCATAATATGAATTAAATGTTTAGTGGTCGCTACCTCTCATAAATTGGACTTGTAGTTCTGTTGATAACGGGTCTTCCAATGGCGCACATTGCATCTTATTGATCTGTAAATGTGCCATCTCTGGTAGGTTGGCATACACTTTTTTTCCTTTTGTTCTGCGTGCACTGATACATTTGTGTTAATCCCCCCCCCCCCCCCCCCCCCCCACCCCCCCCCCCACCCCCCCCCCCCCCCCCCCCCCCCCAAGAGGCACAATGTTGCGCACACCACACACAGACCAGTGACAAATAGTGGCCAATATTTAATGCCAATGGATATTTATTACACATGACAGATGTCCTTGAAAGCTATAATAGCATTATATTGTTAAAACATAAAATTTATATCAGGTGCTAATATTGCTTATTTATATCTACTAGACATTTCAGGCATTCAAGAACATGGTTAAGGATTAGCTTATGTTGCTAGTATTTACCAAAACCTGTTCATGTGAACTGGCGTTCTTGTTTTCTCGTCCTCTCTTCCTTTTTTAGGCAGTGTTGTATGGAAGCGTAAAACTCTTTAGGCTTAACATAATTTTGTCAAAATTTCTAGTTCAGTTCTCTATTTGGGTAAATTCATTTGCTTAATTCCTTCACATTCCCTAGAAACCTTTTGGATTATATGCTAAATATTCATTCTTTTACTGCTTTGCTTTTTCAGTTTTAAGGAAGCATTTTTTATGCCATCTAGCACTGTTTCCTCGAAGATACGTTGCAAAGACTTTCTGCCATTATTTCCCTCGTCTCCAGTTTCATTTTCATCATTGGATGTTCCCATATCAGTTTTTTACTACAAGGTACCTGTCAACCATATTATACATAGTAGTTGGTTTTCATGTTACTACAACTACTTCTCCATGTCTATAATGGAACTATGACATTATGCATTGGACTTGAACTTTAGTTCTATACACAACTTGAGATATTAGTGAAGAACATATGTCCATGCAATTTAGCAATTTTGTAAAAAGCAGCCTAGGCAGGCATCTAGATGCCTGCTTAGGTCTGTGCGGACCTCTCCCCATAGTGAAATGGGCTGGGCAGTGGGCACCCCCAGGTGGGCGCTGGGGGCACCTAGGTGTACTTGATTTTTGGGTTTTGGACATTTTAGATGGTATAGATCAACTTTAACATGGTGAATCTTTTGTAGAATGGTCAACATTTTGAATTTGAAAAACAAGGATTTGGTTTCAAATCATTGAGCAAAGTCTATCCCCTAAGTCCTAACATTGTGTATATGTTGGAGGGGTCTGCAATCTCTGAAGCTTGACTATTCAAGTGTGAATAATGCAACTCAATTTCAAAAGAAGTCAAGCATAACAATTCTTTGCTTAACTAGTTATGCTGGCTTAACGTAAAACAAGGTAATGTTGTGGGAGAGAATACTCATAGATGCTTGACCATATGCATTTACTTTAAGAATGTAAACAAAGTTGATGTTGGTACTTCCATATTGTATTATCTAGCTGATAAAAATAGAAACATATATATTTTTCAGATGAACTTGATATGAGTATCAGTAAAGTACAAATTAAGATTTTGATCAAATATGGTTACTAACACATTATTACTCAGCAATAACAAGTAAGTTGCTGAAATAAACTGTGTTATATTTCAAGACTTCTTGCATCAAACTTAAAATAAAACTATCGGCAAAACTATTAGCTGTACTGTTGGTAATCAAGGTTTTAAGTAATGTAACTGTCATTACTCTCACTATATATGTATTATTATGTGTTTCAGATGTGCAGACATGTATTGGAATACACCGGATTGTTTGCATTATTCGTGTCTCGGTTCATATTTTAAGACGGTGGATTGCAAATGTCTATATTTGTGAAAGTTAATCTAGTTTGTATTATATTTGTTTGTGCATTTGTACATTGCCAGCTTGATGGTTGTTGGTGTTAATACTTGAAAATTCATATAGTTCTTCAGAGTTCCTTTACATGTTTACTGATGAAGATAATATATTTGTTTGGACCTTTTCCATCATTAATCAATAAAAAATGAAAATAAAAATTCCTTATCATAAGTTGACAATGTTTTAAATGTCATTGAGAGAAGAAAACTCCACGATATGAAGGATTTTTTTAACGTCGATTTTGTTTGCTGACAAAATGGGGCACATTCTTGTTTATTGAAGAAGAGTGAAATGCTTCTGTAAATTTAACTTTTGACTTCAGATATGAAATAATAATGATGATGTTGCCAATCCCATTAAACTTGTTAGTCAAGCAACATTTTATTCATGTTTCTGGAACATTTATGATCCTTTTATCTACTGATACCTTTGCTTGAATCTAGGGTGTCAATCATGCTGCTTCTAGTGGTCATACACCTGAACATAATCTTATGGATTATATATGTTTCACAATACCTGACAAATCCTTGGATAGAATTAATTGCATTGGCATAGTAAGGGGGTTTACTGATGATTCCAGTTCAGCTTCAAAGGTAGCACATTCTGTAGAAGTTGTTTTCCTATGTATACCTGAGGGACACGACTGCATTGACCTGTCCCTATATAAGGTAACTTGAAATTGTCTTTAGTTTTCCCTTTAACATTTGTTCTTTAATACTGGTATTTCTTTATCGGAACAGGAAACTCAGCTTGTTTTATTGCTGAATGAAGCAAGCTCTTCAGCTGATGGTACTGGAAGATCTTGGATGATTATGATTCAATTAAGTGATCTATCTTTTACATTGGTATCAAAGCCATTATTTGCAAATCTCTGGAGGTTGCATGAACTGAAGGTATCACTTCCAATCAAAGCCTTTCTTTTTTAAGATAGCAAGGTGAAGTAAAGTCAGTAAGCTTGTTTTATTATTGTCTGGTGAGCTTCTTTTGTTATTGTCTGCTTATTGTTTACGCTAATCGTGGAGATAATGGAGGGGGGAAAGTTTCGAAATATATGCAATGGTAACTTCTAATGCATGAGATCCTGAATGATTCCAAGAGTTAAGGCTGGGGATTTCAATTTACCAAAAAGCATTTGATGGTGGGCTCCTGTGAGACTCCTTATTAGAATTCTATGGCATTTGCACACAAATCATATGTTAGAGCAGTTTAATAAATGTAATGGTGTAAAATCAACTGAAAATCTTAAGGGTAGTTGTACTCTACAACAGTGCAACATTTCCTGGAAAAATCGAACAGTTGCATGTAGCAAATTTGGTATCCCAACTAAGACTAGTTAATGTAACTGTAATTAGGGGGAGATCTTTTATACTTTGTCTTTGTAAAGTTATGATTCTATATCTATCCGCAATGCTCATAGTCTTTCAACGAAGAGAATTTCCTCTCTATATCTTCACAATAAGAAAAGAGCAAGTTGAAATTCGTGATTCTTTTTCAGTGACCATTTCCTTTTATTGCTCATGTTATTTCTCTCCTTCCAGCGACCATTTTCTGTCATTACTCATTTCTTTTCATAAGGGAATAAACTGATAATAATACTTGTGCTTTCTCACAACTTTTGAATTTCTGATTTTTTTTTTCCACACAATTTTCTTTGTGATATTGGTTACATCTAGGCCTCGGCTACTGACTTGCATCTGGACAGCGGGAAAGTTCGCTGCGTTCCACACACTGTGACCAAGCCATTAGCAGTTAGTGGTAAGTGCAGCACGTTGATGCTCTTTTTCCATCATGAAAGTACTTAAGTAGCTGCATTTCTGATATCGTTCTTCGTTTTCATTTTGCAAGTTCAACAATTATGTGTAATTTTCAGTTTCTTACACTATAGTACCACTTATATTAAATACAAATATTGCAGAAGTCTTCGAGAAACCATTTTATTTTTTTCGGTTAATGGAAATTTACTTTATGATTTGATACAATTCTTGAAGAAGGCATACCCAAATTTTTGTGGATCTGTCTTTTTGTGAATCAGTCTTGCAGTGGAAACTAAAGTATGCCTGAATTTTTCCCTTGGCCAGACGAACATCCATTCTTGCAAACCTTTGTAACAATTACATATATTATTGATCGCATAGTCGATGAAATTTTCTTGAACAGTATTGACACAACTGGTAGGAGGGGCAATACATGCATTAGGAACATAAGGTAATTGGCGTTACATATGATGTAGGATACCTGCTCACTTTGACTCTCTAGCGAATGATCGGAAAGAAATTTCAAAATAGCAAGCTACTAGCCTATTAGGGTGCAAATGGATCGGATACAGATTGGATATGACTTTGACACTATTATAAATAGCGATAAATAGCCCCGCAATAGCGGTGCTAATAGCGTTAGCGGTCCCTTCCCGCTACGCTATCGCGCAATAGCGGTGACATATTATGAAATATGTCTGTTCGCAAAAACGGCCAATAGTGTCATAACGGTAAATAGTGAGCGATTACATTCGAAATTTGCTTTTTGACTGCTATTTAAAAGCAGTTTGAGGCTTATTTTTTTAAAATTAAACTCAACCCTTGACCATTGCATTCCACCATCTCCTGTGATTTTCAACATACTCCCGCCACCTTTCATAGCCTCTGGCACCTACCTTGATACTTCCTCTCACATTCTTCACCGTGAGCTCCTCTTAGGGCAATGTTGTCACCGCTAAGCTATTCTTCTCGAAGACGATGACTTTTTGACTCCTCCAGTCATCTTCGGTATTACATAATGGTTACGTGTCTATTTCATGTTTAGGATTTATTTAAATCATCCAATATGTACTTTTAGATTTCTTAGATTTTTCTTTAAATTTTTTAGTATTTATACATATCTAAATTAGACCGCTATTTGACTTTACGCTTTTTACCGTAATTTTACCGTAGTAGCCCGAAATAGCCTTAGCGATGCCTCACCGCTACGCGACGCTATCCGCTATCGATAACCTTGGACTTTGATCATATCTTGCATCTACTTACTAAGGGCAAATGTTGATATTGATATGGTTTTTCTTCAGTAAGAGAAACTCATCCATATCCATATTAACACGGACTGGGATATTGGAGCAACAGATTCAGTTATGGTTCAGATATGGTCCAGATATTTGGCAGAACGGATATATGAATCGAGTACAAACAATTCTATCAAGGAACAATTTTGATCCCGCTTATACATGTCCCAATTACTTCCAGTTACAACCTTCATTGTGATTCACTAATCCGTAGAAACAAGTCGAAGGCTAAATGTTCTCAAGAACGCACTCCATAAATAAGTGCATCACTGCCATGAACATCTCCCTCCATTTGCCAATCACAATGCAATGCCCATGAAAACCTCAACTGTAAACAACTATAAGGTAAGAATTAACCTGTTCTAGGAAGACTAACAACACCCAGCAACCTAAATGACACCGAAAAAAATTAAAGAAAACAAAAACAAGAACCAAAGTTTAGTAGTGTTGCCTGCAAAAAAAAGCCACGTACAGTTTTTATTCTTGGACATGGTTCCTTGTGATTGGGTCAATCGAACCATCACCATGGATGGAGGAGATCAGGTTTGGTGGAGGTGGAAATCACAATTCGGATGGAGGATGGACATTTCTTGTGATCAGGAATTGCATGCGGATCATTTGCGAGTTCGTCACCTGAATTTTCCACTGTTTTGCTGAGTTTGTCGTTTGCATGTTAGGGTTTTGTCAAGTTCGTGGGCCGGTTTCTCGCAATTTGGGAATCTCTTGGACCTGGGTGTTCTTATTTGGGGATGAGTTGCAGGTAAGATGTTGAGTTGGGTTTCAGGTATCAATGGAAGTGGAAACTTATGTTATTTAGCTTATAATAATTGAACTGTGCCAGATCACTCATTTGATCATCTTATTTCCGTATGCAATCAAATATTTTCCTTGTTGGAGAAAACTTAACCTCGAGTTTCAAGTTCAAAGAAATTAATAATTTTGAACAAATTGGTTGGATAATGTCATTGCAACAGATTTGGTGTTACAATTAATTTTTCAATGTGGATTCTCCTGGTGTGATGCCAGCACAGGTTGAAGGCAGTCTCCTGCTAATCTTTCATTTAGTCTCTTCTACTAATTTTTTCACTTACATTGAAAACCCAAAGCTAAACTTAATCAAAAGTTTCTCCTGCCAGTCTGCTGCTGCTTCCCCAAAACACTAACTTGGCAAAACATCTTTTTTCTGTAACGTTGTTGCTTCTTTTTCTTTTCTGTTCAAGTTGAAATTTACCACCAAAACAGCCCTTGAATTGTCAATAATCCATGACCTGTACAAATCTGGCCTGTTGTTAATTCCCTATCCATTCATGTACATGCAACATTGAAACTCAATGGTGCTAAAATCCGAGGCAAGAATAATTTTTTGAGGATAGAGATCATGGTGCTTTGCTGCTGATTTTTTTTTGGGTGCATAATTTGATTATGTCTCATTAGATTGGTTTATGTGCATCTTACACGCCTCAGGTATGATACTGCAGGATGGATCAGTTTGTCACCATTTATCGACACTTGTTGTGCTGATTTGCTTTGTATTTTCTTATTTTCGGTGTTATTTGAGTTTTGTAAATGCATAATCATATTTTATCTGTTTCGTTGTCCATTAGTTAGCCTTTGTAGAACTTGATTGCCGAATATTTTCAGCAAAGTTTCTAGGACTATTCGAATATCTGGCACTGCTAGAAATGCAAGTAGGATACTTAAAATTAACCAATTCATGTTTTAATGTTGATAATTTGAATATCTGCAGCTTCCAGAGGTGTCGCTTGTCTCTTTTCATCGCGGAGGCATGCTTTAGTGTATATTCTTGATGAAGACGAGGAAGAGGCTTCTGATACTGAGGGAGGCCAATAATTCCTTCGACTTAAAATAGAGAGAGAATTATGCATTCAGAGGAGTTATCCATGGAATTTGCACTGTGAAATTGCTGAATGAGTCTCATTTCTTGCGATAGATGGGAAGCACCAACAGAGGTTATTTAAGTTGCTGAATTGAGAATTTACTATTCCCTGCGGTGACTGCAAGCTATAAGTTTATACATCATTTTGTTTGGTAGAAGCGTTTGCTGGAGAGAAATACATCGAAGCTGATCGTATGCCTCTATGGATGACCCTCATGGTTCATTAGCAGTGGTTCTTCAAACATGGGCATCCCTTCGTACGGCTTCTCTAATGTTGACCTATTACTGTACTTCTCTGTGGTTCACAATGAATAGTGTTGTGCTGATCTTAAATGTGTGCTGAAGGAATGCCCTCTGATTAACTGAGGGGAACGGGTTTTCTTCAGCTTGTCATTAGCATGCAGCAAACGAACTGGAATTTTTGCTAGATGTTTTATATTTGTAAGGGGGAGCTGGATGTCTTCAATGCCTTGGTGGAAAAGTAACTATCGTTGAAAACCAAGGAATGAACTACTTTTATGTGTTGGTTTTCTACTGATTTGATGTGCAACAGTTGGTTGAAAGCCTTAAGAAAAACTGTAAATTTTGGACACGCGTTGAGCGGCTTGAGCGGCCAAGTGATTGTGCATCCAGAAATACTAAGTGATTACTTAGTTGAGCAGCTTTGGCTTAATAAGATGAGCTGAAGCTTCTATACTGGTTTACTGGTAAATTTTTATGCCGACCGCCTCGATGCTTCAGGAAATATTTTTCGGAGCACCGATGGCACTGACTGTAAAAAACAATTATAAATTTCTGCTCTCTTTCTTCTGAAAGAATCGGTTGCCATCCAAAATCGGGTTCCACACCAAACCTTGTAATTATTATGGCCGTAAGCGTAGTTATTAACACTTGAAATAACTTCCATCTTCTTCCTTCGAGTTTTAGTCTTCGAGCAACACGTGACCGCTGATTTAGCCACCCATTTGCTTGTCTATGTTTTAAGATCATTGCTAAACTCCACACTGTTGATCCTTCGATTATTTTTCATCGCATTTGGCCGCATAGTAGATGATCATTTATGCTCGTTCAACAATTTGCTTCAACGGGTTCAGAACATTGAATTCTGCCCTTTTTGCCATTTGATCCCAACTTTTTTTTTTAAATCCACCCTTCATCCATCTTCACATCACGTCCTTCTAGGGCGTGTTTGTTTCGTTTTCAAAAGAAATTTGGAAACCCTTTCTTGTAATAAAAAACGTATTTCCACATATTTCCATGTCTTTTTTTTTTTTTGCCTTGTTTATTTAGGAATGGATACTTGGAAGAAAATGTTTTCTATTCCAATCTCTTTGTTTGTTTCAAAAAGCAAAAATGATTTCCACTCAATTATTTAACTATTATTTTGTTCCGCCGGGATGACCTCTCCCACTAATCTTATTATTTAATTATTATTTTGCACCATTTCCATCCATTTCTTGCCGGTTTCCTCTCAAATTTGGCGAAATTGGTTTCCGCCCAAAAAGTACATTTTCCCCATGTTTTAAGAAAACTTTTTTTAAAACCCAATAGTGAAACAAACACAAGAAATCGGTATGCTTAGATGAATTTGGTGGATGGAGGAGTGCAGATTTGATATTAATGGATTTGCTTCAATGGGTTCTGAACCAAAAAGAGCACAGTGCAGATTTGATATTAACGGATTTGCTTCAATGGGTTCTGAACCAAAAAGAGCACATCTTTTTCTCTTTTCTTATAATAATAGTTCACTTTCTTTAAAAAATTGCATCTAAATCTCTTATATAAATTCTTATTAAAGTTTTAAATTTTAAAAAATATAGAATACCGAGTAATTTAAGATTTGGCAAAGAGGAAGACGGTAACGGAAAAATATAGAATACGGTTATGGGATAAGAAGAAAATAAAACTAAATTAGAATGACCAAAATGCCTTTTGTGAATTTGTAATTAAAATTTACATAAATTTATATTTTGGGAGCATGGAAGCAATGTTAATTTTTATGGTTTATGCTGTCAAATTCAGATATTTAATTTGTCTGCTATTTTTGGATAGGGGTTATTTCGTTCATTTCTTAAAAACCTAAATTTGGGAGATTACTCGTGGGAAATAGGTTATGAGACACATTTTCATGTTTTCAAACAATTTCTTGATTTTTAGAAGGAAATGAGTTTCCTTAAATTTGGGACCCATGACACTATTGTCTTACTAGTATGTGGGTCTCACATGCACAATATTTCTTTTTTTTTTCATCTCTCAACCAAACACAAGAAAAATAAATCAAACACCTTCACATGGATGTGTTTGGTGTTTTAATTTCCTTTTTTTAGTTTCCCAACCTACCAAACAGCCAGACAAATTCATGTAATTACCACATTTTTCAGCAACATCTTGATGTCCGACATGACATGTAGTCGATACTTTTCTCTGACAATTTTGGTTGCTCTCTAACTCTTCAAAGTAGCAAGCAATGAGAAAACTAAAATTTGTTATTTACATATTGCAACTAAGCAACTAAAATTTGTTATTTACATATAGCAACTAAAGCAAGAAGTAACACCGATGTTGATACCTATTTAAGATTTACTATTAAGTTGGAGATGTTATTTACTAGTTCTAGTTTCTTTATTACCTATGCTACATTACTACGAATATTATCCCCTTAGCTTTTTTACGTCTCTTAAACATTCTCTCTTTTATCAAAGAATTTCTTAAATTGGATAATGTAGGATACAATTGGATTATATTATAAATATGTTTTACAGCAATACTAAGGAACTCAATCTTCTAACCACCTAATTTTTAAAAGGCAAAATAAAGGTAAGCTCTAAAAAGATTTACAACAAAAGGTTGCAGCAATGTCAAAAGGAACTTTGCCTGCATTTCCAGGACGCTAAAACTAAACCTCTTTAGTCAAACCCAACCGAAGATCTTTGCGTTGCTTGAGTCGTACAAACTACAGGTTTCACTTACGATGCAACTGTAAGCTCCAAAATCTTTTCCCGTGTAAAGACGCCAACAGGCCTCGCACTCGAGCTGTAACTGGTTTCATATACATTGCTATTTTTAACAACCACCACCATTTGGTATTTCTTGTCGAGGATCAGATCAATTACTCGGCCAATTGATGTAGATGTGGTAACACAAGGTGGCGGTCCCCTCATCAACGATGAAAGAGGTGCATCCAGCTGCACAAGCATTCACAGACAGAGGTATGAGCATAGATAATAAACATAACCTGCATGATGCACACCATTGGGAACATCCATGATAACATCAGTACTACTTTTCGGTCAAAATGGTTCTTAGAGGGAGCATGACTCTAATTTGAGAAAGCTCTTCAACAAACAGAAAGTTTCTAAATCAGCGATCAGATACTAACCATCTATAACCACAGCTAAATCACCAGCAATAAGGGATCCTACCATGATATTGATGGGGACTTGGTGGGCAGGTTTACGTAACATTTCTTATCAAGAAGCATTCATTATCAAAAAACTCAGACAACCAAATGAAATCAGAATCCCATAATAGAGAATAATACCATCTACAGACAACTTGAAAATGGAAATATTATATCTTAGAGGGTGTTTGGAGAGGCTTATTTTTTGGTCAGACTAGCTTTTAAGCTAGTTTTTTCATATCTATTTGTTTAGTACACTACCAAATAAGTTAGCTTATAAGTCTTATCTTTAAAAGGCAGTACACCATAGCTTTTGAAAAACAAGCTTACCAGCTCACCCAAACAAGCTAGGTTTGACCAAACAAAATACTATTTTACCTAAACATTGTTTAAGCAAATATTATTATAAAAGTCAAAATCCATCAAAAGCTAACATAACTTAAAAGCTTGAAAAATCACTTTGAGGTAGTAGGATATTTACACTAGAGGCACCCCAGCATTAACTATACCACAGAGACACATGTGAATCATGCAGTAGGTACACCTATTTGTGAAGGAATGCAAATGTAAAGCCTCCTTTCACTAGGCAATACCTTTTTGCCCTAAGTGATACCACATTTGTAAATTCCTGACATAGTGATCTTTAAACACTAGTATCATCTGAAGAATGGTAAGCAATGACGATAGTTATCCCGTGTCTAGGTGACTGTCTATTTATGATCTATGGACAGGCCAAAGTTCATTGCTAATCCAAAAAAGCAGAATTACCTCTTTACAGTCATCACGATGCACAATTCCAACACAGCTACCCCAGTCGTCTATAACAGGAACAACAGAGTCCTTCACAAACCGCAACACAACTTCCTTCAAGAGCGAGTTAGCAGGTAATGGTAAAGCTTCTTCAAATGCAAGCATATATTTGTCAACTGGGTCAGCTAAAGAAACCTGGATCACAAGAGAGATGAAAGGTGATTATTGTACATATTTGGAAGAGAAGGCATGACTTGGTAGAGAAGTGAGACAAACACCTGAGTGAGAATGTAAGGGGCAAACAAGGAACTAGCATATCCTGACATAGCCTCTAATCGTATAGCAACCTGCAGAGTAATGAACTAAATCATCTTTCTATATCTTACGTAAAACCTCTTTCTGCATGAATTATCGCTTTCAAGTCGCATAGTATAATGGCCTAAAAACACAAAGTTACTAAATATGCATATAAACACAAACCAGGAAATATTTAGAACATGTATAAACATGTAATAACAAGCAAACAGACACATCTACAAATGCAGACCTATAGTATATTTTAGATAAAATTATTATTTTAACATAATGTTTTTCCATTTGGAGCAGAATTTTGCCTCTGTCATTGTACCATAGGGAGCATCAACAGAAGACTCCCAGAAAAAAACATTCACAACAACACAAAAATTGATATCATAGGACAATATAATCAAAAGATACTAATACTTATGCAAGCCAAATGTTAATCATGAAGTAAACATATCAATATATATTGGGGACGTATAGAGAGTCCAATAAGACCAGTTAACTGCTAGAAATATAGCTTAGGATATGCTTCAATACAGGTTCATACAAATTCACGCCCATAAAAGAGGATTGATATAAAACAGGTATGTCGTTGACAATTGTGCAGGTAACCACTGTTTATGTCACAATGCCAACAGATTCTGACAGCTAATGGAATTTTACATTATAAATCATTTGAAGAATCTTTTATCTTCAACCATCTGTTGTAGAGAACTCCATTCAACTGCCATGATAAGTAACTTTTTCTCCATTAGAAGTATTCAAATAATGCGATGCATGCTAAGAAATCTAAAAACTAATGCTTTGATAAGTATATGCCTTGCACTCTACTAAAGGAAATGTATATTTTCGAGGCATTAAGTATGATTTTTTTTTTAAACTGTAGTTATGTTGCATATACTCTATCATGTATATGTAATGAATGGTAAAAAGTGACTTCATGAAATCCCAATATAACATCACAACCATAATAAACTATGTTGTAAAACTTGGAGAAGACGTAAAACTCACAGCTCAAGTCAGTAGCGTACTGCTACAGTTGAACCTATAGCTTTTTACTATAGTTGCCCAGCGTAGAAGTGAATGCAATAATAGATAAATTACATACCATGCCTCCTCGGGTTGTCCATGTAAAGTCATCTTGTTTTGCAATAGTATTAGAAAGTATTTGTCTAGCAACATCAATCTGCAGAAGTAACCAATCCATAATTCCATATTCAAGCAGTAAATTAGCAAAGGATAAAGACTACACATTATGGACTTATTTGAATTGTTTATAAAGGTTCATGCTTATTAAAAGAAGGCACAAGCTTATGAGAAATATGCACATAAGCAACTTCCCAGATGATACAATCAACTATATATAGGTACCAGAAAAATTATACAATATCTCACCCTTTTTGGTGAGATGTGAGACATTAATACATTAACATCTACACAACATATTAAACTAAGATCGTTGTCTACATTGCTCAGTTCGATCAATGGAATTATTTCAAATTAAACAATCAAAGAAAGTGAAGGAGTAACTTTCAGTCCATTCACCTTACAATTTTGAAAAAACATATTATTAGAGAAAATCTTTGAATTCAAATACTTAATTGTTTTAGGAACCTAAACTTGTTTTGGCATATTTTTGTACAATTTTATTATATGCAGCTAATTTATGTGTTCTTAAAGCTGAATGTTACATAAATCATTCCATGTAAATATTAATATTGCATCTAGAAACATTAAGATACCTTGTCATTATTGATTTTTCAGTTAAGTACAAGCATATATGTATCACAACATTAAATTAGTTCGTGTTAAATATGTTAGATATGGAAAATAATAGAAAGCAAAAATAATTTATGATGTCACCATTAAGAGATATCACTTTACGTTACAGCTCTCAATGTAAAAGCAGACTTCTACCTGATCACCGTTTAATGCTGCTTCCATGAGAAGCTCATCAGCCTCTAGTCTTGCTGAAGGAGAAATTGATCCAACAGAACCTGACCACATGTGTACATGTAGCTTTCTTGCCAAATCAAAATCCCCCATAGCAGCAAATACCCGCATCATAGAAAGATAAAGATGAGGCTTTGGCATCAGATTCTTATTTCTTCCGGCTTGCTTTATCATCTCACCAAATATGCAAAGTGCTCCTACAATTCAAATGCAAACCAGTACATCAAACTATTTAATAACAAGCAGTTTTCAGCACAGATATGTTATACCAGACCAGCAACAGTGTGTGTTCTTGCAAGTTACATTGAGGACATTGTCCTGTAACTAATAAGGATATCTGTTCAAGGTATTCCAACAGTCAAGGCATGTCAGGAACTTATGGTTTTATGCATGAGAAAATCATAAGCAATGGATGAAATATTGTGGTATTTAAATAGCACTTATAAATGGAAATGAAATGCTCTTCAACAGCAGAATAGGATGATCTTTTAATCAAGACTATAGTTCATGTCATTCACTAGCGAAAGATATGAACAGAATTAGATTACTTGACTATATATAAGTTATTGCATTTGGAAAACATTTCACAAGAGTCAATGAAACAACCCACTTGATTAGAAAAAGAAAAAAAGAAAAAAGAAAAAGAAAAAGAAAAAGGAAAAACATTATCTACTTCTCAACTTATTTTGTGAACTTCACATTTTATATTTAGTACCTAAAATGTTAAAGCTTACAATAAAATACTTTAAAATGCCATTAAAATTTGTCGTTTTAATTGAGGTGTCAAAAATTTTTACCTCTGATGGATCCACAAGCAAGAAAAGCATCTGCCATCGCTGTATATGCAGTCCGATCAATAAACAGGTCAGGCTGTGATTTCATCTCAACCACAATTTTCTGAATAGTAAACAGGTCTTTTTCATTCCCTAGACCCTACAATCGTGTTGTAAGTAATTAAATGAAACATTCTTTAACTTAGAAAATAAAGCATTCAGTGAGACAAAAAAAAACCATCTCAAACATTCTATGCTGTGAGACTAGACAACTTACACCCGACCACCTGTTCGTGCCTGCTTGATGAATAGGGAATCATTGAATTTGGATAGAAAATTTTTTTGCTTCCAATTAATTTCTGAAGTGTATATCTTGCTTACACATATTTAAATCTAAATGTAAATATAATTTTGCTTCATCCTACTGTTTAAGATCTTTAATACTTTAGCTTAAGAACTATGCCAATTCATGGACATTTTGCGTACTTTACCTTAAGTAAAGTGGTGTAAGTGACAGCATCTGGAAGGACACTGCAGTTGGTCTTCAAAGCTTCCTCCTGAAAGATGACATTACTATTTAGTTTTTCATTGTCTAATCATGTGACATATCAGAAAGACTTGTATAGCTTTAAACTGGCCTTCCAAACATTTGCTTGAGACCTTCATTTCAGCAAGAAACTGAATTGCTGCATCTGTTTTTCCAGATTTCACGCATGCAAAGATAAGTGTGTTATAGGTTAATTTGTCAGGCTTCAATCCCTGGCGCATTATTTCATCCCGGACAGTTAAAGCACCAAGAGGGAAATCTGTGTTTGTATACCCCTGAATAAAAATCAGGATATATGAGCAACAATTAGACAAGACTGTATGCTTGAAGGGTGCAAGTCAAGACAATTAGAAAAATAACAGGTCAAAGAAACATGGGACAATCCTTTTGTACACCGAATCAGAGATTTTAGAAATTAGAAAAAATAAACTTAAATATAAACATGGGATTTCAAGGGGAAAAAACCTTCATTAATAAGTTGTACAGCAAGACCGAGTGAGTATCTTCATGCAGCACTAGTCGATAACGTGCAACAAGACCATTGGCACGACGCATATCCCCTGCATGTAAGTAGGTGCATCTTAGGATCACTAAACAGCATGAAAAGCAAATATTTGTCCAATATAATGGCAAATTATAGACTAGTAGGTATAGGATCACAGATGGAAAAAGTAAACATATATCCCTAGTAACAGTTTGCTGTGGTGCAAGAGTTATATTATCTGAATGCACATGCCATATATGAACATTTAATGACAAAAACAGCGAAAACAAAGACTTCTATTACATACTTTTTTCCACATATTAGAGACTCAATTTTCCTTTTCCTTCTCCTTCGAACATCAAACTTTCACTCTTAGTGGTCTACGGCTGTATTTAAACATGAGAAAATGGTATTGAATTTTTTATTTTAATTTAAACAACTCTGATAATGTATGGTTACGTGAGAACAAGAAAAGTGGAGACAGGTTCATTCAAAAAAGTACATTTAATACTTAATAGGGTTTGCATTTGTATTTTAGATAAAAAATCAATTATATTAATTTTGTTAATATTTTACTGTTTTATCCCTTTATCCTATAGGATTAAAAAAAATCCTCTCTAATGTTTACCCCCTACAATAGGTAACTTCAGTTTCTACATTACCTTTAGGGTAAGAGAAAGAAGTAGGTGTTTACTGTAGAGACTGTAGAGCTAAGGTTATGACCCTTACCCTATCTGTTGCCACCCCTCTACGTAGGGATGTCAAATGGGTGGTTTTGATTGGGTCTTGGTTGGGTCATAAATGAGTGGGCATATTTATGACCACTTAACCATTTATGACTCATTTAGCATTTGCTAAATGTGTCACTTCTCAACAACCTATTTACTAAATGGGTGGTTCATGGGTGACCCAATAACCTATTTAGTTATGATTATGATGCTTCTATATATATGTAAGTTTCAGGGATCTACTTGCAAACTTTCAAGGGGTTTTGGCAAACTTTTAGAGGGGTTTTCTGTAAACTTTCAGGGGGTTTTCTACAAACTTTTAGGGGTTTTTTGCAAACTTTTAGGGGGGATTTTGCAAACTTTCAGGGGGGTTTTGCAAACTTTCAGGGGGGGTTTGCAAACTTTCAGGGGGTTTTCTGTGAACTTTCTGGGGGTTTTTGTAAACTTTTAGGGGGTTTTTTGCAAACTTTCAGGGGGGTTTTATATAAATTTTCAGGGGGCTTTCTATAAACTTTCAGGGGGTTTTATGCAAACTTTCAGGGGGTTTTCTGTAAACTTTCAGGGGTTTTTCTACAAACTTTCAGGGGTTTTTTTGTAAACTTTTAGGGGATTTTTTATAAACTTTCAGGGGTTTTATGTAAACTTTCAGAGGGTTTTCTGTAAACTTTCAGGGGGGTTTTTGTAAACTTTAAGGAGGGTTTTTGTAGACTTTTAGGGGGTTTTCTACAAACTTTCAGGGGGTTTTCTACAAACTTTTAGGGGTTTTTTTGTAAACATTTATTTCTTAATTGAATCGACTACTTGGAAAAATTAGGACATAATTATGAGCAAAAGAAGCAAATGATGACGGGACTGAGCAAAAGAAGAGATGGACTCGTAACAAGTCTAGTCTACTGCCTTCTCGGTTATTTAAAAAAAGCCCTTACTTTGGTCATGTGTCAAAATTTTTTAGAATACCGGAGTACCCTTAACATTTAATTCAGTTCTTCTTCATCTTAGGGTCAAATTAGAACAGAGCAAAGAAATAATAAAATATCTTCAGAAAACCCTATCTTGCACGGTTTATAAAACCACACTACCTAACAGCTCTATTTGATAACAACATCCTAACTAAATTTGGCTCTAAAAACCCACGCACCACACATTCCATAAAAAAATCCTAACTAAATCTTTTTGCCGTCTAAATTTGTCAACAAAATGTGGTAAAAATATCACGTCCCACTCTGAGGATCTTAAAAATTCTGCACCTCCTTAACCTTGCGTGAACTGCTTTGAAAGAGATGTTTTCTTTCCTTTGTTCAAAATCCATGAGCTATGAGCGTAATTGTTCATTTCTTCATATTTATTGTTGGTTAAAGTCTATTATTATTTTTCATGTTTGTTCTTAGTTACAGAATGTCCCCAAGTAATTCTCCTTGAAATTTTTTTATCACGCCGGATAACAATACACGCTCTCTTTCTCTCCTGTTTCTCGCGCAATAGACGCAAGTTTTGCAAATTATACTTGGCCGCACACGCATATATCTCCTGACGACGAAGAATTGTGAGCGCCTATTTTTTATATTTATATATCTTTGAGGGTGTTTTTTGCAATTTTTAAAAGTTTGAGGGTGTTACTTACAAATTTGATATTTATAAGGGACTACCGAAATTTTTTAGATTTCATGTGTCATTTGCAAGTTTAGAAAATTCTAAGATTGTTTTGTAGTTTTGAACTCTTGAGTGTGCTTTTTGCAATTTTTAAACTTTGAGGGTGCTTTTTATAAATTATAAATTTATAGGGGGCTGCTAGTAATTTTTTGATTTCACGTGTCATTTGTAGGTTTTGAAATTTCAGGATGGTTTTGTAATTCTAAACTATGGAGGGTGTTTTTCTAAAAAATTAAAACTTTGAGGATGTTAATTGCAAATTTTAAATTTATAGGGGACTATTGAAATTTTTTAGATTTCATATGTTATTTGCAAGTTTAGAAAACTCTAAGATTGTTTGGTAATTTTGAAGTCTTGAGTGTGTTTTTCTCATTTTCTATAACTTTTAAGGGTATTTTTTGCAAATTATAAAATTTTAGGGGGTTGTTGGTAATTTTTGAATTTCATGTGTCATCTGTGGGGTTAGAAAATTTTGATAGTTTTTTTTATAATTTTTAACTCTTGAGGGCGTTTTTATAATATTTTAAACTTTGAGGGTGTTTTTTGCAAATCTCAAAAATTTTAAGGGGTTTTAGTCATTTTAAGTGTTTTCTATAATTTTTAACTTTTAAAAATAAGTTTTGTAATTGTTGAAGCGTTGAGGGTGTTTTTAAAAAAATATTCATCTAAACGGGTAAATGAGTGGGTAATAACCCCGCCCATTAATGACTCATTTATCTTTAATAGAAACTATACCCACCCATTTATGGTCCATTTAACTAAATGGGTGGGTTTGGATAGTTCATTTGGCGGGTGGGTATGGGTGGACAATTGGTTTTGGGTCCATTTTGCCATCCCTACCTCTACGTAATGCAGAGGATGATAATAGAAATTGCTTGATATTTTATATATTTAAACAAGTTTATCATCATCAGATTCATCACCCTAAAAATGAAATGAGATACGAACTGCAAAATTAGCTAGTGAATGAAACTGGGAACATGAAAAATATATATAAAACAGAATAGAAAAAGGAGTTGAATAACCTCGCAAATAATTTTTTATCTGATAAGAGAAGCAGTGTCAAAAGAGTGATACCAGAGAGACTAGTTCACAAGAAATAGCACTCACCAGCCTCTAGCAAAGCATTCAGCAGACCATATATGAGTTTAGGTGACAACTTCGGATTTCCAGCAGCAACACCTTGTTCAACAGATTCAAGAATTTGGAATGCTTCATCAATTTTTCGAGCTTCACCTAAACCCTTCACAAGATCAATAAAAACCAATAGAGGAAGACGAAAAAAAAGCTCAATCACATGTCTTTAATAATTTCAAGATAAACAATCACGGTAACAGTCCAACATGACATGTGCTAAAATAGCATAAAGTAGTTTTAGAAGCATAACCTTCTTATTAGCTAATCCTCAAACATAAACGTAATCTCCATGAATCTTAAAAGAAAATTTAAGTCATTAGCACACAACTCAATCCAGATGTTTTAATGTTAAAAATAATAATAATAAAAGAAATCGTAAAAGACACTTACCCAAAACCCCTTCAGAAGGTAAAATAGCATAATCCTTAAACAGTCCAAATACCTATCTGGAAGCATCCATATCAAAGGTTCTTTCCCACTAGAAGGAACAGATGTCAACACCAAGCATACACGCAGAGGACAAGAAGCATAAACTTGGCACTAGATGTCTAACATAAAGGTGATCCTAAAAGAGCACGATTCAATATTTCATTTTTCTCAAGACTAAGCACCTATAATTCAAGGATCTCTGAGATAAAAGGTGACACATTGAGAAAACAACACATTAATAATTCATCATTAAATTGCACACACATTCAGCTAGAGGACCTCGGAGACACAGGAAGCAAATTGAAAAGCCATTAGGTGGTCAACTTGAACAAAGAAAAAAAAACAATCAAGCATTTACCTCCAGACCAAGGGATATCTAAAATAAGGTGTGAGCAAAACAAAACAAACAAATTCATCTTCCACCAGAAGAAAAGCCTGGTGTCAAAAACTACATAAGGTTTGCATATGTTTAAGGATAATATGGGGCTAGGAATGAGTGACAAAGGTTAACAACAAAAGAACATGATGTGCAAGATCAATGACAAAGTACCGTCCCGGAAGTTGTAAGAAACTTGAACCAAATTTTAGATAAAGTTAGCAGCTGTGTTCTCATTGAAAGCTCATGTCGTCTCTGCTATGACAACTGAATATCATTCAATGTAGAGGTCAATACCAAAAACAACTCTAATAGCTTGAATTATGCAGAGCATGAAACTTTTGATGGTGAAAATAGCAAAAGCCTCCTGTATCTCTTAACCATCACCCTGTAAGCCTTTTCCATCAAAACAAGGCTAGCTATAGAGCAAAACATGAAGCCAGAAAAGCTCCACAAAAGGAAATCATTCAACTTCAATGACTCTATTATCAAAGTAACATCAACAGTCCATGTTTTGTCCCCGGTTTTGAAGACAAAATCATGGAAGCTTGACAGCCAATTAGCAGACTTGCTTCTTCGGTTATGCACCTTAAGCCCAAGCAAACAAAGAGGCAGAGATTCCCCTGAATGAGTCTATAGAATGACGTAAGCTGATATGATTTTCTGTGAACATTCATGTTCACCTATGAGGTACAAACCAAGGAAACACACGAGAAAGAGGGAGGGAGAGCACCGAATCTTCATGGCTCACACTCTGCTTTTGAGATGTCGTTATGCAATCTTCAAGGATAATCCTGATATCCTTCAAATTTTGGGCATCTTGAATTACAAACTGAATTGTTATTCTAAAGACAAAAATAGACTAGTTTTCATGATAGATTTCCAAAACAATCAAAGGTTGTATTATAACCTAATTGCCAATAGCAAGGCACCATAATCCACAAGCACATAAATGCGGTATCTGAAATAAAGTTGGGGCTGCAAATACCTATATTTCGCTTCCCACTGTTTGAAGCACAGAGAAGAGAAAAGATGATATCTTTGAGGGGGGCTCCGGTAACAGGTTAGGAGTTTGCTTTTTTCTTTTTCGTTGTAAGTTCTCATGGAGATTAATCCACTATTTATAGGCCGAAATCCCATCATCTCCACCCCCCTCAAACTGCCTCTGAGAGATTTTCTCTCAACAAACCCCATATCCCACGTTTCTCTCCACTTGAAAAGCGTTGATTTGGTCACACAAGACCAAGTCAGACTAACATCTCTCACTTGACCAAATCAATCAAGTGACATGCCTCCCACTATCCGTGAGATCGGATGTTTCTGCTTACCATTATTCCCACTATCCGTAGAGAGTAACTCTTATTTTATTATTCATAAAATTTTACTTGGACTTATTTATTCCTAAGTCTCATCAAACTTACATGTTTGATAAAAGATTCCGTTGGTATTCCTTTTGTCAAAGGATCAGCAATCATATTTGTAGTAGGGATATAAGTCACTTTGACTTCTCCCTTTTCTACAATATCTCGAATATAGTGATACTGGATCTCAATATGTTTTCTTTTGGAGCTATTCGCACCACTATTGATTAAGTTAATTGCTGCTTGGTTATCACAATAAATATCAATAGGTCCTTCCAACAAATTGAGATCAATATCAATCAAAAACCGTCTTATCCAGACAGCATGTGTAGTTGCCATACTGCAAGCTATATATTTAGCTTCTTGCGTATATCTAGCAACACACCCTTGTTTCTTGCTACTCCAAGAAACAGCTCCTCCTTCAAAGATAAATAAGTGTCCCGAAGTGGACTTTCCATCATCTTTATCACCTCCGAAATCAGCATCGGAATAACCGAGGAGTTCAAACGAATCAGCTTGATAAACTAATCTATGAGTCAATGTACCTCTGATATACTTCATAATCATTTTAACAGCTTCCCAATGTGCTGATCCTGGATTACTTTGATATCTATTGACTAGACTCACAGCATAAGTTATATCAGGTCTGGTGCACAACATTACATACATCAAGCTTCTAATTGCTTGAGCATAAGGAACATCTAATGGCTTCTGCCCCTCTCCAGGGTTTTGCTCTTTACATAATCTCTTTCTCATAACCAACGGAGTTGGTGCCGAATTAGAATTCTTCATTCTAAACCTTTTATGAACTGATCTTAAATATTTTTCTTGGTTTAAACTTAGCATTCTAGACTTTTTATCTCGAATTATTTAAATTCCAAGAATATATGATGCATCTCCCATGTCTTTCATCTCAAACTTTTCGCTGAGATATGTCTTGGTTTTATTCAACATTTCTATGTCATTTCCAACGAGTAATATATCATCCACATATAATGATAATATAGTAAACTTGCTCCCACTTTTCAAGACAAAAGTTGGAATAACTCTCTATTAAGGAATGTAGTTTTAACATCCATTTGGAATAACTCCAAATCAAGATATGCAACAATAGCCAAAATAATTCTAATGGATGCAAATTTAGCTATAGGAGAATACGTCTCCTGAAAATTTATTCCTGCCTTTTGGTTATAACCTTTGACAACTAACCGTGTTTTGAATTTATCAATAGATCCATCAACACGATATTTCTTTTTGAGCACCCATTTGCATCCTATGGCTTTTCTATTTTCTGGTAGATCACATAACTCGCATACCTTATTCTTTTCTATGGAATCAAGTTCTTCTCTCATAGATTCTAGCCATAAAGTTGATTTATGCGATTTCATCGCATCAGAAAAGGTTAAGGGATCTTGTTCTTCTACATTTGTATCTACCGATAAACAGGATGGCTCACATGAATACAAATAGTAATCATCCATCCATGAAGGTTGTGTTCTTTGCCTTTTGTTGCCTACAACCGGTTGATTAGGTACATTATTTTTCATAGGTATTTTATTATTTTTAAGATTAGGTTCATTCACAATATCAGGGTCATTAGCGGAAACAACACTGTAATAATCATCATCTATTACAGTTAGAGGTTCTGTTTCCTCTTGAACTTGTTCCTCTTCCTCTAGATTCTCTAGAAATATAGCATATCTGCTTTCAATGACTCTTTTTTTCTTTATTGTAGAACTTATAACCTTTTGACTTTTCTGAATATCCTATGAATCTATACTTTATTATTTTAAAATCCAACTTATCTCTAAGTTGATATGGAATGAGAACATGGGCTATAGATCCCCACTTCCTGAGATGACTCAAATTAGGTTTCCTGTCATTCCATAATTTATAAGGTATAGATACAACTGATTTGGTAGGAATTCTATTTAAAATATAGTTTGCAGTTAACAATGCTTCTCCACAAAAGTTTTTAGAGAGACCAGAATGAGACAACATGCATCTAACTACATTAAGTAATGTTTTATTTTTTCTTTCAGCAACACCATTCTATTGTGACGTATACGGCATTGTTGTATATCTTTTAATTTCATACTGAATACAATAACTCTCAAATTCTTTAGAGTTATATTCCCCACCTCTATCAGTTCTCAAAATTTTAATTTTTAATCCAAGTTGGTTTTCGACTTCTGTCTTATATCTCTTAAAGCAGTCAAAAGCTTTTAATTTTCTAGATATAAGATAGGCGTGTGCAAACTTAGAATAATCATCTATAAAAGTAATAAAATATTCTTTATTACTATGAGTTTTGACACTTAGGGGACCACAAATATCCGAATGTATCAACCCTAAAAGTTCATTGGCTCTCTGTCCGCCAATAAAAGGTTTTCTAGTCATTTTACCAGTTAAACAATGTTCACATTGTGACAATTGAATATTAGATAGTGCAGGAAGCAAGTTCATTCTGATAATTTCTTTTATTTTTGAAATACTAGCATGTTCTAATCTAGAATGTCACAATTCAGACTCAGAAATATAACATGACAAGTAGTTCAAATTCGAAATTTCATTATCAGAATTATTACAAACTGCTGGAAGAATGCATAATTCATGCTCGGGTACATATTTTTCCATAGCATACACTTTATTATTCTTGCCTATAAAAACCCTGTTATTATAGAACCTAACTTCCAGTCCTTTCTTCATCAAGCTGGGAACAAAGATCAGATTACACCGAATTCCTGACGCATAGAACACATCTTTGAGGATAAGAATATTGTCCCCAAGATCCAATCTATATGAACCAATACCTTCTACATCGAGATAGGTATTATTTCCCATATAGATTCTCTGTTCTCCTTTCTTAAGCTCGATGAATTCTACGACTCTTTTCTTATCCTTTGCGATATGCCTAGTTGTACCGGAGTCGATCCACCAACCACTGATATCCGTCATCACAGCATTACATTCTGTCACACCGATGAATTCTCTTTTGTTAGTACCCCCTTATTCTGGATGCTTATAGCCTCCCTTATTCTCCTGCTTTTCATCTTGTGGGCAATTGGGCTTGAAATGCCCGAACTTTCCACAATTGTAGCAGGTTCCGCGGAGTACTTTTTTTCTCTTGAACTGCTGTGACTTCGGTCCTCGCGGTTGTGGTTTACTAGGACCAGGGTTTTTATAGCTTTCAGTATTATGTCTCTGACGGACATAATTCAGCTCATGTTGCACCATATTCAGTTCTGCTTCCTTCCTACTGGCTATTAAGTTCTGTTCTATCGCTAGGTACATAGGAAGATCAGTGACAGACTTAATGATAGGATTCATTCTTAATGTGGTGGCAGCCACAACAAGTGAAGGGAGAAGACTATTTAAAATGGTTGCCACTTGCATTCTTTCCGGGATTTCGATCTCAGTAGTAGATAAGTCCTTAGCCATGATAATCATTTTATTTATATGCTCTACGATATTGTGTCCCTCTTGCATACGACAAGAATTATACTTATGCAAAAAGGAGTTGTATGTTAACTTCAAAAGCAATGTCATATTTTTCTTTTATTGCATTCCACATGTCCATGGAAGTCTTATAAGTTTTAAAAACTTTGATTAAATTATCTTCCATGAACATGAGCATAAGGCTTTTCGCTTTTTTGTCTTTCGACTTTCACTGTTCAAGCCCTTTCTTTTCTTCAGGTGTTGATTTATCAGTAAGGGTTGGAGCGATGGTTTCGATTATGTCATTGATATTGTCATGGATAAGAGCATATCCTATTTTTCTATGCCACATATCATAATTACTGTCATTAAATTTATCAATTTTTTCTAGTTCTGATAGAACGAGTTTACTAGCCATTCGGTAAAGAACTAAAACTAAATTCAATTTTAAAATATGTATAAGGTTGATATTTTGATAAATACAAAAAAAAATTAGATAAATAAATAAATTAATTAAAATAAACCTGATTTTTGTGAGCTAATGAAAGAAGCTCCAATTTGAGCGAGGATGTCACTCAGCGGAGTTGATTGGATCAGTACTTGTCGAAGTTTTGTCGTCGTTTCTGACCGGATTTGGAGTTGATCTATTGCTATCGTTGAGTTGCACCGGATAGATTTTGCGAAGAATTGTTCGAACAATCCTAATTGATTGAAAATAGAATGTTGAATTGTAAAGGACTAAAGTGATATTTTTTTAAGGCTCTGCTGGTTTCAAAGAACGTGGTTATGGGAAAATTGGGCCTTGCTTTGATTTAAAACAGATGGGCTTGACTTTGATTCAACAAATAAAAGATTGACAGGCCTTTAGTGAAAGTGGGCCTGACAGGCTTTGATTTCAAAGTGAAACAAAAGTTGAAAACTTGGCCTGGGTGATAAGTGATTGGATCTGATTTAGCTAGAGTTTTTTTTAACCTCAAAGAGCAAGAGGCGGTTGACTTCTCTCTATTCTTCTCCAAAAAATTCTCGATCTCGAGCTCGACCGACGGCCTCCGATCTCCTTCAGTCGTCGACGTCACAGCAGGCTCGTCGTCGTCGTCGTCGTTGATTGCAACGGAGTCGTCGGTCGTCGAAGATGATTGATGCAGAGCTCGAGATGGCCGATCGATGCAGCTGCTCTGATACCAGTGTTTGAAGCACAGAGAAGAGAAAAGATGATATCTTTGAGGGGGGATCCGGTAACAGGTTAGGAGTTTACTTTTTTTCTTTTTCGTTGTAAGTTCTCATGGAGATTAATCCACTATTTATAGGCCGAAATCCTATCATCTCCACCCCCTCAAACTGTCTCCGAGAGATTTTCTCTCAACAATCCCCATATCCCACGTTTCTCTCCACTTGAGAAGCGTTGATTTGGTCACACAAGACCAAGTCAGACTAACACCCACTCTGAGTGTAAGTGTAACAACATTTCTTCAAGAACACACAATGTGAGCATTTCATTTCGTACTAATCCATAAACTAAAATAACACCAATAAATAAATAAAACGAAATAAAAATATTTCCAGCTAACCTTCAGTAGAATCCCATACGTAACGCTATCAACACCACAACTCTCCAGCTTCGACATTTCATCGAAAACCCTCCATGCCGAATCCAAATCCTTGCACCGTATACAAGCCTGCATAACAGCATTCATCACAATCCTGTTCACCTTCCCATATTTTCTCTTTGCAGTCTCAACTTCCTCAAATACCTATCAAAAATAGAATAGAATAAATCACCAAACTTTCCCGAGAAAAGAGAGGAGAAATCAAAGAGGTGCCTGCTTTAGCTGCTTCCTGCGCGTGAGATCGACAATGCGAGAGGTCAGTCTTCGAAGATTGAGATTTTGAGGCGAATTGGTGTTTGACTTTTTAGGGATCTTAGGCAGGCGACGAGGAAATCGAGAGAAGGATACGTAGGATTTTGGTCTAAAATGAGTGGCAATAAAGAGGAACGAGGGAGGTAGGGTTTCTCGTAGAGGAGGAGATCGTGATCGAAACTCTAGATTTTTCATGGCTCTTCTAGTTCTGCTGATTCAGCGCATGTTCGTAGTGATGAGAGATGGAGAGCGGGAATGGATAAAATGGGGAAGAAGTAACGGTCCCATTCACGATTACGATACGTCGGATTAAAGAAGGATGGGCCAACCCAAATAGAAGGGCCCAAGCAAGGAAGGTCTCAACGGGTATTAGAATCGTGCGACCCGATTATGATAACGCCTTGTGTTTCCATCCCCTCCAATTTGGACTCCGTTTTTAATATAAGGTCCCCAAGATCCCTATTCAGTCCACTTTTTAAAAGAATGCGTGAGCCCAAGTACTTCTCATCCACATTCATTTCTCCAACATTGAAAATGGATTGAATTACTCTTTTAGTGGAATCTAATGTGGCATTGCTGAAATGAATTGAGGATTTGTCGAAATTAGACGCTTGTCCGGTGATTTTGCCGAAGACGACATTGAAGACTCTGCTCACCCTACACTCCCTTTGCTCATGTTAGACATCCTAGTATTCGGTTATATGCTTTCCTTTATTTTAGTCTCACATCGATTAGGATTTTAGAACCTCTCCTCTGACTCTTGTATTTAAGCAGTTCAATATAATGAATAAGACAAGTCTCTTTTTCTCTTAAAAGTCTATTTTCATCCCAAAATCTCTATTTTTAACATGGTATCAAAGCAATTCTCTTGATCCCAGAGAGACCTCTTTTTTCTTCCTCTAGATCGAGCCGCCAAGGGGCTTTTGCCGAAAACTTCGTGCTTCCCATCAACGGCCTCGGCACCGGATTCAACCTTGACGTGCCATCCCATCACTCACAACCTCTCACTGTCCTTTGCTCATGCAAAACCCTAGCCCTAATTCTTGCTGAATGATACTGCTTACCTAGAGGGTACTGTTCACCCGCAGAGTAATGTTCATCTTGAACCTCACTGCTTCGGCATTATTCACCTGCGGGCAGAGTTACTGCTCATCTTGAAACTTGATGCTTCAACACCAACTTCGATAGCAACCTTTTCTTGGCCGCCACTACAACAAAGGATATCCGTCGTCGTCGTCAATAAACTCCGACCAAGTCATACCAATTGGTCGTCGTCATCCTTACAGCTTCAAACCTCGTCCAAACCTTACCACTGCAAACTCTCGCCTTGTGAAACCCTAGCAGTTCCTCCACCGCAAACCTCTGCCTGCCAACATCACTGTTGCTCCGATTGGTGTAATTGTACAAACTATTCATTGCATACACAGGGTGCTCGACGAATTGCCTTAGCGAGGTTTCTCACTCCTTGGCGAGCCTCTAGCCAAGCTCTCTCCAGGTATGTATTTTTCACTCACCGATGCTTGCAAGATCCGGTCACTGTGCCTCCTCTCACGACCATAGGTCCACCCTCTCAAAACACTGATCATTGCTGCAACACCATACCTTGCCGCTTGCAAGATCCAGTCACCGCGCCTTCTCCCATGATTGCAGGTCGCCCTCTCATAACTGTGAACGTGGAGTCACATGGGGCCCACCCATGTGTTTGTGAAATTGCATGGTGATGGGATATTGCGTGTGAAGGCTAAGGCGGTTTCAAAGCACGCGATTTCAAGCGTGTGGGGGCCACACAAATGCTTTGGTGCGTGTGAAGGCTAAGGCGGTTTCAAAGCACGCGATTTCAAGCGTGTGGGGGCCACACAAATGCTTTGGTGAATGAAAACATGGCCAGGCCCACCCAGCACGCGATTTCAAGCGTGTGGGGGCCACACAAATGCTTTGGTGAATGAAAACATGGCCAGGCCCACCTGATTCAGTTGTTCATATATATAATAACATGATTCTTCCTAGGGTTCGGTGGAGCAAGTACAGGGGAAAAGGTACAGCAAAGAAAAGAAGAAAAAGGGCGGCTGAGTGCAGGTGAAAAAGTGAGGACGGAAAAATCAGAGGCGGCTGTGCTTGGGTGTGCAAGGCAGAACAAAAGAAACGACGTGCAAGGCAGCGTTCCTTTTTTTTGTTTGGGCGGCGTGCAAAGGCAGAGGAAATTTCTGTGTGCAGTCCTTTTGTGCTTTTGAGAGAGATAATTGTGTAAGAGGTTTGAGAGATTGTGTGAGGGTTTAGATTGTGTGATTGTAAACCCTAGTTATATTCTCTCCTCTCTAATAGTAGATCTCCCCCTCCTTACCCCGTGGACGTAGGCAGTTTGTCGAACCACGTAAAATTGGTTGTTTGAGTTTGTGGCCATTGTAATAGTTTTAGGATCCCTCGACAGGTCAGTCCTAGAACTGATGAGAGGAAGAGCCGATATCTCACTTTGTTGAGATATCCGCTTCAGATTCTTGTTTCCTTGGTGAGACAGGAATTCTTATTGGGATATTTCTCTCTTACTATACACCAGAAACTCTGCCGAAATTTCCGCTACGCACAACAAGTGGTATCAGAGCTCGGGCTACGCTTGGGCTATTTGGAGGAGTAGATCAATTTGAAAGCTCATCTAGGGCTTTGTTTGGTGATAAAGGTGGGATCTTTTTGGTAAAAGACTCTATCTTTTCAGTTTTGGATCTATTCTTCGTTCGTTGGTGCGTTAAGAAAGATGTCGGGGAAAGAAGGTGCTTCGGGTGTCGAGAGTGGTGTTGGCCTTCTTGTTTTGATGATGTTTAACAAACAATTTACCACTAATGTTGTTTGTCTAGTATTTATATTTTCCTATGTATTGTAGACAAACAACATCGTTAGATGATGGATGGAATCGAGCCTTAACGATCATATCAAATGGAGGTTGGAGGAATTGTGGAGTGAAGCAACGTACAATTCAAGTTAAAGATCAAGTTCAAGCTTCATCCGCATGTGTACCAAGTTGAGCTACAATGAAGATCAAGATCAAGCTTGGGTAATCTAGTTTAGATTTTATATTATGTGTGTTAAGTACCTTAAGCTCAATATCATATACACACACGTATTTGGTTTCTATGTATATATATAGTTATATATATACATGCATGGTTTTGAGTTTCATGCTTTGGACACACTTGCAAAATACATGAGTTTTCACAAATAGAAATTCAATTTGAGAAATTCTTTTTCTAACATGTTTTTTTTCATGTTTACAAATATTTCGCAAAGTTTCATCAAGTTTAGAATTGATTTGTTATGTTTAATGGAATTTACAAAATCATGTTTTTGTTCGTGCACATGTTCGTGCATGTTTTACAAAACAGATGAGTTTTCATAAATGGGAAATGGTATTCAAGAAATTATTTCTTTGAAATGTTTATCTACATGTTTAGAAACTTTCCTCAAAATTTTACTATTTTTGGAGTTGATTTACTGTGCCCAATTGATTTTACAAAATCGTGTATGTCAGCAGATTTTTAGAAACTATATATCTGTGTTCAAATATTTATTTCTCTCAAATAATAAATTATTTTTCAGAAATTCTTTCTCTAACATGTTCTTCTACATGTCTAGAACGTTCCCTCAAAATTTCATAATTTTTGGAGTTGATTTACTATTTTTAATTAATTTTATAAAGCCAGATATGTAAATTTTCAGAATGCTGAATTTAGGGGTATTTTGGTCTTTTCAGCCTATAACGGCTAGTAACGGCTAGTTTTTGATATTTTCGGTTTTTGGGAGTTTGTGGCTGGTTTAAGAGGCTATAAAAAGCCCTCAACTTTTATTGTTTCTCATGGATGTTTAAGAGAGTTTTAAAAAGAGTTTTACAAGTTTGTTGAAGGGTTTTTAAGTTTGTTTCAAGAGTTTGTTTGTGAAGAAAATTCCACAAGAGCTTGAGAAGATCATCTATTAAAGTTTGAGCTTCCAACTATTCTCCCTCCACCTCTTGATCTATTGAGAAGTTTTCTAAACTCTTATCTAGTTTTACATTTGCTTAGTTATTTGATTATCTTTCTTTAAAGCTATTTTTTATATTGAGTTTAGATTTGATTTTAATCTCATTGTTACACACACCCACATGAGCTTATTGTATTTTCATACATAATATATTAGGATTGTGAGAGATTGTAACATTGAGTTGTGCTTCATTGTGTTCTCATCTATTGTAGAGAATAAATTTATATTTGTTACATTGTGAGTGTTGTAAGGTTTTCGGTGAGCTAGAAACCGAGTGTGTAGTGAAGTTTTCGGTGAACTAGAAAACCGAGTGTGAGGAGTGAACGTTGTTCGGTGAGCGTTGAAAACCGACACTGTGAGGTGTAAACGTTATTCGGGTGAGCGTAGAAAACCCGGTTGATAGTGGATTTCTCCCCGGGAGTGGGGAGCGGAGACGTAGGACGGAAGGTCCGAACTCCGTGATCATTTGAGTGTGTTTGAGTTTGTCATTGGCACATTTGCTTTTGAGGTGAGATCTTTTGGTAAATACTCTATCTTTCAGTTTTGGATCTATTCTTTGTTCGTTGGTGCGTAAGATGTCGGGGAAAGAAGGTGCTTCGGGAGTCGAGGGTGGTTCTTCTGGCGTGAAGACTATTCAGAGTTTGAATATCCACTCTATGAAGATAGATGTGGAGAAATTTAATGGCACAAACAACTTTGGATTATGGAGATGCGAGGTTTTGGATGCGCTGAACGCGCAGTATTTGGAGGATACATTGGAGTTAGATGGCAAGCCAGATGAGATTGAAGAGAAGGTTTGGAAGAAGATGAATCGAACGGCGTGTGGTGTGATTAGGTCTTGTTTGACTCAAGATCTAAAATATGATGTGATGAATGAGACTTCTGCGAAGAAGATTTGGGAGATTCTCGAAAGCAAGTATTTGACCAAGAGTGTGGAAAATCGCTTGCATTTGAAGAGGAGGCTTTATCATTTCCAATTGAAGAAGGGAACCTCAATTAGAGATCACATGAACACCTACACAAAGCTTCTTGCGGATTTGGCGAATGTGGATGTCATAATTGAAGATGAAGACAAGGCGTTGCTGTTGTTGAGTTCCTTGCCTAACGAGGAATATGAGACCTTCGTCCTTACTTTGATTAATGGGAAGGCAACTCTTTCGTATAGTGAGGTCACCGCTGCACTTGTGAATTATCAGCTTCGAAAGAAGGATAAGGGGGCTTCAGTTGAGCCGGGAGCGGATGCATTGATCGCAAGAGGGAAGGGTCCAAACCGAAAGAATTGGAAGTCACAGTCTAGAGTAGGAAAAGATCAGTGTGCTTGGTGCAAGGAGACTGGTCA